ACTTTTATTGTGCTGTTTTGGTTACTGTAATTTGTAACTTTAATTGTACTGTAATAGTTACTGTAATAGTTACTGTAATTTGTTAATTTGTAACTTTAATAGTTACTGTAATAGTTACTGTAATTTGTTAATTTGTAACTTTTATTGTGCTGTTTTGGTTACTGTAATTTGTAACTTTAATTGTACTGTAATAGTTACTGTAATAGTTACTGTAATTTGTTAATTTGTAACTTTAATAGTTACTGTAATAGTTACTGTAATTTGTTAATTTGTAACTTTTATTGTGCTGTTTTGGTTACTGTAATTTGTAACTTTAATTGTTACTGTAATGGTAACTAATTTGTAACTGTAATTGTAACTATAATTTGTAACCCTAATTTGTAACTTTAATTGTTACCATACTTTTATCTTTATCTGTAACGTTAACCGTAATTGTTACTGTAGTGTAATGTTAACAGTAATTGTAACTGCTTTACACCTTCACTGAAGCAATTTAGATCATTTAGGAGGCAGGCTGGTTTGACCCTGCCTATCAGGGCCATTCCCGGGCTGAATGGGATATAGGAAGTCCCAACAGACATAAGAAGATTCAGACTGGGTACACCACCAACGCCAATCAGACAGTTATGCTGAGGTAGATTATTTAATAATTTTGGAAGTAAACTAAAGAGCTGGTTTTTTTCTCTTCCCCTCCCCATTCCCGTCCCCAGGTTTTGCGGATGCTGCCATTGACCCGATCGACTTCCCCACAGCTCCAGCCCACGCTATCCCCAAGGTGACTGCTTTGTGTGTGTTGTGTTGTCTGTATTGTGTTGTGTTGTGTGTGTGTTGTCTGTTCTGTGATATGCTGGATGTATTGTGTGTGCTGTGTTGTGTGTGCTCTGTTGTGCTGTGTGTGTTGTATTGTGTGTGTCGCGTCAGGTGTGTTGTGATGTATGTATTGTGTTATATTGTATGTGTTGTGTGGGCTGTGTTGTATTGTGTATGTCATGTTGTATTGTGCGTGTTATTTGTGCGCTGTTGTGTTGTATTAATTATGCGTACACTGAGTTGTTGGTGACATTGGTGTGTTCTGTGTAGTGTCTGCTACGTACAGCAGACTTTGTCTTTTGGTGTGGAATTTGTGACCTATTTCACCGAACATCTAAACATGTTGCAGATCCTTGCCGTATGTTAGAGTTTAGTCTAGAGAGACAACTGTGGTCAATTTTGAGCCGGACTGAAGTTAGCTTAATAACAATAATAATAATAATGATATAATGATGATATAATAATAATAATAAAAGTAATAATGAACTGCATTTATATAGGGCATATTCACTTATGCAATGCTCTATGTGCTTAATAATAATAATAATAATGATGATATAATAATAATAATAATAATAATATAATAGAGATAGTGATGATATGTTAATAATAATAATAATAATAATAATAATAATAATAACAATAATAATAACAACAATAATAATAATAATAATGATATAAAAATATTAATGATAATAATAATAATGAAGATAATATTTTAGTGCCTACTCTTGTGTGCGTTCAGGCCATTTTGCTTCACACAAAAGTAAAGTCCAACTCAAATTTAGTTAATGTTTGAAATGGAATTAATGTTGATGTCGAAAGTTGGCCGTGTGCCAAATAGAGTTTGTTTCAACTTTTACATCTGCTTTTTTAAGAATGACTTTTGTAAATTGTTTCTGTCTGTCTGCTTTGCTTTTCCCTTAGACTAAATGATCCATCTTTTACTCAAAGCTCAAACAATTAAGGCCATCGTGAGTGGTTGGTGGGTGCTGTGGGGTGGTTTGCTATTTTTTTTCCTAGTTAGCATCTATCATCTTTGCCTCTCATCTTTCTTTATTTTGTTTGTTTGTCTGTTTGTTTGTTACTTTCTAGTAACACTTCTAGTCTTCGGCACTTATATCCTTAAGATCAGCTCAATCTTAAACAGTCAAATGGGTCTTTGGAGGGCGCCACTGGCAGGTCCTACTTCTTTTCTTTCCCTTTGTTGTTTCTGCCTGTCTGTCTGTCTTGCTTCTTCCCTGCACTAAATGACCATTATTGTGTCCATGTGCCTCTCTGTACTCAAACTCAAATTCCATTGTGGTTTGCTTCTTCTTTCCTTTCAAACTTCTATCGTCTTTATCTCCCCTCATTTTTTTTGGTGTTTGTTACTCTCTTGTAACTCCTCTAATGGTCAGCACTTATATGACCTTAATTTTTTGCCAGTGCAGTAAAATTTTTACTAAAATTTATGAAACAAAACAATTGAGCCCTATGGGTGGTTTGCGGGTGGTTTGGTTTGGTTTGCTTCTTCTTTCCTATCAAACATCTGTCGTCCTTACCTCTCCTTCTTTTTTGTGTTTGTTACTCTCTTGTAACACCTCTAATCTTCGGCTTGTATAATAATGAATAGCATTTATACTGCGCATTTCCATTAAAAAAAAAAAAGCCAATGCGCATTACATCGAAAAAGACGTCACATCTTAAAAATTAATCGACATGCGTCTACGTAAAACAAAGTATTATTATGCATATTATACATATTTAATATCTATGTATATGTGTAAAATATGACCATATTGTGTTGCAAGTGCCGTAATACGCTTACTAAAACTAAACAAGACATTTGAGCCGTATTCATGGCCTGCGTGTGTGTGTGTCGGTAGATGCTGAAACGCCACAACCTGTCAGTGGACGACATTGCCATGTGGGAGATCAACGAGGCCTTCAGCGTGGTGGTCCTGGCCAACATCGAGATGCTGGGCTGTGACCCCGACAAGGTCAACGTCAACGGTGGAGCTGTCAGCATCGGACATCCCATCGGGTGAGACTTGCACGTTATACCATTAGCGGGGAGGTTTGGAGAAAAAACAAATGAAGTGCAGTAGAACTTGTCCATCTAAGACAATCTCCCGTTGTCAGGAAAAGTGGTCATCTTAAATTTTGTCATAGACAGGGGGCCCTTTTGGACAGTCATTATAAGACAGAAAAAGCTCGTGGGGGAGGGGAGGGGGGAGTGGGAAGTGATTGTTTATACAGGTGATTGTCTCGGACAGGTGGTCATTAGAGCAGGTTCGGTTGTTGTCAGTTTTTTGTCCAAAAGTTGCCAAGTTGCCACAAAAATTGTCTCTGTGAGGATGTATATATGTATAGCAATAATATGTTGATAGAGGTAACTTAGTCCAAAGCACCAGAATTTCTTGTGCTCTGTTTTGGGTATCTAGAATATCATTTGTAGCCACTCGACAGAGTTTAAAAACGGGAAAAACAAAGGTTTCACAACAGAATGAAAATGAAATCAAAATAAAAACAGCACATAAACAACCCCAAAAAATAACAAATAAAGGCATGTGTCCACCTATCCGAAGATTGGCCGTTTTTACCCTAAATGTGTGTAATTCATGAAAAAGTACAGGATATTAGCATGTGAATTATTGAACCACACACAAGGGGCCTGCCTGTGTCAGCATTCGGTTTTTGGTGGAGACACGCTCTAACTTAACACATTAAATTTTTTTTTTTTTTAAATGTAGGAACATCACATTAAATGATACAATGTATTATGCAAAACAGCCCACTGCCCCCACCCCCTTATGTCCAATGTCGGAGTGAATCGTGACAAACACAGCCCTCTGTTGCCTGGTCCTGGGAGACACAACTGTAGCCCCGCTGTGACCCCTACGGTCACCCAAATATTGTGCACAGGGTCAAGCTGTTGAAAATGGGGGGGCGGGACTGTTATTGTGTCAATGTGTTTCTTTTTCATCAAAACTAAATGACCATTATTGTGTTGATGTGTGTTTGTGTTCACCCAAATTGACCCTTGTTACCCTCCTTCCTGTGGGTGGTTGATGGGTGTTCTGGTGTGGTTTGCTCCTTTTCTTGATTCAAACTTCTTTTGTCCTGTTCTCTCCTTTTTTTGTATGTTACGCTCTTGTTACACCTCAAACCTTAGTTGCTTGTATGAAATTATCTATTTTGTGCTTTCAAGTGCTGTAAAACTCTAACTAAAACTAAAACGTAAAACTTCACCCCTTCTTCCCCACAGAATGTCGGGAGCTCGCATCACGGGTCACATGGCTCACAACCTCAAGCCCGGACAGTTTGGAGTCGGTGGAATCTGCAACGGAGGGGGCGGAGCTTCGGCCATCATCATTGAGAAGTTGTAACTGGTCACCACAGGGGTTTTTGTTTTTCTTGAGAAATTCTCAGCGATTGCACGTGTGAGGTTTTTTCTCGAGAAATTGAATCTTTACAGATGGATGGGCAGATTTTCTCAAGAAATTATAACTTGGAAAAGCGTGTTATTATTTTTCGTGAGAAATTGTCTTTACAGGACAAGTAAAGATATTTTTGTCTTGAAAAATTGAATTGCAGCTGGAGAAGGATTTTTTTCTCCTCAAAAACTCAAATCTTTCCATGAGAGTTTTTTTTTGTTGAGAACTTGGAATCTTTTCATGCAGTTGTTTTTTCTAGAGAAATTGAATTTTCACTTGTGAGATTTTTTCTTCCAAATTGAATTTTCACTTGTTAGGGTTCTTTTTTTTTTTTTAGAAAGCTTATTTAAACATGTCAGGTTAATTTCTTGAGGAACTGGGCTTTGACCTGTCTGGTCATTCCTCAAGAAACTGAGGTTTGTCAAAAGCATCTGCTGGACTGGTCTTCCCTGCTATGGTATTATGCCCCTTTACAGAGTGGCTCAGTCCTCAGGAGGAGTCATATATTCTCCACATTAATTGTTTGTAATTATTCAGACAGTTTGTTATGTCGCAGGCAGTTTGTCGATTAGCTCGCACAACTCCCAAGTCTGCGGAGCGTTCACACATTTGTAGACAGTTTGGCAGCTCTTGTAAGCTCGGAATGTTTTTAAATTGCGTTGCCTGATCTGTTCTCGTTGTTCACAACCTATGTAAAAATGCTCAATATGGTGGTCTGATTATCATGTAAGAGTGTTTTTCTAATTGGTAGAAAAAATATTTTGATTGCAGTTTATCCAACATTTGCCCGGCTAAAGAAAATTATAGTAACTTTCTTTTTCCCATTGCTTGTGAATAGTCAGCCATCGAAAACCAAAACAGTTCTGTCTTCAAGAATGATGTCATGAATTGGTAAAGGAACTTTTTGATGCTGACTGAGTATATTTTCTCAGACACTTGGCATTTGTTGTGACTTTGTGCCATTTTTTATTTCAAATCCACGTTCAGTCTTTGATGAACTATATTTTTACATAAAGTTGATCACAGTTAAAATATGTGCATTATGTTGAAGCCCAATACTTTTCTCTTCACATGAGCTAAAGACTTCATGAACAACTTGTTATCAGAGTTTGTGGTTTGTGTAGTACGTATCAGTGTGAAGAGAGAGAAAAATGTGTATCTGAAATAAAACTTATTAAAACTGAGGAAAAGGATGTGAAATCTTTGTTAAGTTTTTTTTTATAGTGTTTTTGATTTGTTCAATTTACAGTCAATGTTTCCTTGCTTTATTCATTTGGTTTCCACTTTTTAAAAATTCCTGTTTGTCTCTGCACAGGAAAAAACCATTTCAAATATTTGGTGTAAGACTCAGGCTAAAATCACTTTTTTAACATGGCGTATAGCAGTCTTACAGAAAACTGTCGATTTGTTCATGGATACAACACTCAAACAACAGACTTCTGTTCTTGCATACAACACGCAAAATTAAATTATAGAACAGCAACTCTCTCATGTCATATTGTATAAAATTTAATATTTTTTCTTTTTTACGAAACAATCATTACCGAGTTCATGGATCACATAATCATCATAACACAACAATATTATACGTATGTACAATATACACGGAGGCATTATATAGAGGTATAAAAACAAACTTTACATTGATCCTCGGACCATAACTAGAGAACACTGCTGCTTCAACCAACTGATAACTTATTAAGAATATTCACCCCAAAACAAATGCCATGCTAAATTTTAATAAATAACTGGGTGAATATTCATGAAACTTACTTCTCACTCCTCTGAAGAACATCTTGGCTGCTAAGTATAAGACTTTGCCATACCCGGTACGCTACTCTGAAAAGTGACGTATGACGGAATTTAACATTAAGCAGTTTATCTAATGAATATTCATGAAATTGACTCCTCCAACTCCATTAAAAAACATCTTATGAATATTTATGAAACTGACTCCTAACTACATTCACGAAGAGCTTTTACAATAAATATTCATGGAAATGTCTCCTAACTATGCTAATGGACAAGCCTGACATTCAATCTGTCAGTCCTGGGTAAATAAATAAAGTTGACCAATGTAGTTGGCGTCACAAGAATGAGACTGACAACATAGAGAAGGTCGTGTGATATTCAAACCAAATGATAATGTTTCTGTGCAATGCTCCAAAACCAAATGAAAAATGTTTCTGTCCTTTGTTCCAAAAGCTGATGCAGGCTGAGGCTATTACACATTTCTTCCGCAGTTGGAAAAGAAAACCGCTATATGCGCTATATGTGTGTGTGCCTGGAGAATGGTCTCATGCGTCTGAAATTGTGGATGTTAAAATAAGGGCATATTTTTGTAGCAAATTCAGTGCTGAACACGCTGATTTTTTTATTTTTTCTAACATTTTCAGTAATTTCAAAGATATGTCACATTTTGTAACAAAGGCCGTAAAAACAAAATTAGGAAAAAAAACCCAATTTCTAACACATTTTTTAACCTTTGGTGAAGCACAACATGTTGCAAAAATAACTAATAAAGATATTTAGACATAAAATATTCTAAAATCCTTTCAACATGTTATTAAGAAATGGTTAAACATCTGTTTTCTGACGGAACTAAATTTTTGACCAGGTACAATGTTTTTGGCCTCTTCACCTCATTGCTCAAAAATAACTTTGCCAACAACTGGGACGTTTCTCCAGGCACACACACATATTTTTGGGACCTATTTCAAGAAACCTGCCAGCTACAAAATCCTATTTTTACAGAATGAAAAATGTATTTCCTTATCCTAATATTGGATATATGGTTTATGCAAGAGGTTACAAAAAACAAAAAAGATGCCCTATTTTGGATATGCCACAACAAATGTTCAAGCCCTCATATTTTCAGATGTCACAACATCAATAAAAAGAAAAGAAAAAAGAGGGGGAGAAAAGATAACAGCAACAAATTACTGGCAAATAACTCCCAACATTTCGCCTGAGAACTATTTTGTCCAAAATGTACCTAACTATAGAGTATACTTGAAACAAAATAGCTCTGAGGCGATGATTTGTTGACCACAAAGAGGTTTTCCAAATGTGTACGTCGCATAACACTTAATATCTGAGGAAGGAAGAAGGCACAAGTTCGGACTTATAGACTTTGTCGTGGTCATTTGTTACGTTTTAATTAAAAATTTGTTATCTTTAGTTTTAGAAAGAATTGTACACCACTTGCAACATGAATAGGTCAAATAAGTGCTAAAAATTAGAGGAGTTACTAGAGAGTAACATGCAAAGAAAAGAAGGAAAGGATAAGGATGATAGATGTTTGATAAGAAAGAAGGAGCAAACCCCACCAAAGCACCCACCAACCACCCAAACACAGCTGATGATTCAACTATATTATGTAGTCAACAATTTTATATCTTTGCCCTATATTTTTTAATTGTAAGAATGAGGTTCATGCTTGCCAGTATAAGATGAGGCAAAATGTGTCACTACGTGGTGGAATCAGGCGCTCAAACATTTTTGATGGGGTTATTGGTATCATCTTAAAGCCTGTTTATTTGCCTTTCTTTTGGTGAAAAAATTATCTATGTTGAATAGAAGTCAAAATATTTGCGATTGAAGGTGGTCAGGTCGCCTGGTTTCAGAGATAAAATTAGCAAAAAAATGGCCGCCAAAGTTGGTTCATTTCCATAGCCTGAGAGTTCTTGGAAACTGGAAATTTACATTTTTTGTGCCTTTAATCAATGTTTTTCAGTAAAATCCACATAGAAATGTGTTTTCAAATGGACATAAAAGGTGTTGAGCCAAAAAAGGAAAATTGCAACAAAATTGACCATCGGCCCAAAAAATGCTGATTTCTTTGATTTCATTATTTTGACGAGCGCCTGATTTCACCATGATGCCTCACAAATGAACTCGACTTTCCTTTTTTTCTTTCATTCCAACGCAGGGAAGAAGGACGAGAAAAAGAGATGGCACAATTGGTCAGCAGATAAAAAACAACAATCTTTATAATTTACATACACAAAGTCGTACATTTTATTTACTAAAATATAAAACATCATAAATCGAAACGCCAAAGACATCAATTTTGTATATATTTATAAATGTAAGCATAATAAATAAATAGATGCAATTTACAATCTAACCATGTACAGATGTGTTATATATGTATACGTATATAAGATATTTTATCATACAATTGTGGAAAAGTAACTAGTGGTTATCTGAACACAACATGGGAATGCATGAGAAAGTTGGCATCATAGACACAGTTACTGGCTCCCCTTTTTCCATCGGATACAAGTTACCATCAATTCCTAACTAATTATCTAACAGTAGTCGTCTCTGTTTGTTCAAGGTTGAGCTATTACAAAAAATACAAAGATTCATACAGAAAAACTTTTGTCCAAGCCTGATACAAAAAGATCTTTTTTGTTTTCACAACTGGTTCTCAATACTACTACAATTCTAATCTTTATTTAAGTAAGATTTCATTAACCACAATCTTACTTTTGAACATGTCGCCTACATCAGAACAAACAGCATTTCTTCAGACTTTTGTCATACCTCAATAAGCAGAGAGTATGTTTCGAGTATTGAACGAGATACAAGTATGGCTGGCTAGGTGAACTGGGCATAAATAAAAACTCATTAAACTTAGGACAACACAAGACTAAATAAGTACAAACGAGCTCAGCAAATATTGAACGCTGCCTTTATATCCAAATTATTGTGTTTAATCAAAGAAAAAAAAAACTTGCTACTATAAGAAAATGTCATTTCAAGGCTTAACAGCACAAAAACCCCAAAACAACTTTATATGAAATGGCAAGTATTCAGATGTAAATACAAAGGCTGGCACTGATCAGATGGAGTAAAATGAGTTCTTGTTGTGTTTGAAGCAATTTGACAACAGAATGTGTACAGTACAGGCCACGTTACACATCAGCACATTTCTATTCTAGAAGGAATGTTGTAACTCATAGCTCCAGACAGACAGGCTGACAGCCATGTCTACATTTGATTTTAAGATTCAACAGTGTTCCGAGTTGAAAATTTGGTAAGTGTAGCTGGTGGCTAGGTCCAATCAGTGTTGGAAATGTCAGTAAGGTAAGGTAATTTAAATTAGCTTCCTAAATGTCCCCTACTTAATCATATGTGACAACAGAAACAAACTACCAAAGCTTAAATAGGAAGACGCAAGTTTTCTTATTGAGCTGACTAATAATTCCTTTTGGATTGCTCTCTTGCCTTCTGAAGACACGTTTTCTCAGGAACGGGTATAAAATTTTTGTTTTCAGTTTCAGTTTTGGCTCTGAGGAACACAAAAGTATGCTGCACAGTTTCTGTGATTCGGAACTCCAGGTAGATCCAGTCAGCAGAGTAAAGAAACAATTGGTTGGAAGAAGTGAGATTGTTCCGAGTATTATTTTGTGCATTTTGGGAGAGGGGTAACAATTTGTACATAATTTATACATACATATATGAACAGTTTAGAAACTTTTATAAGTACAATAAATACTAAATATACACGAGACGAAGTTTTGCCTACCCAAAGAGTTTATTTCCCATTACTGGATGAACTTTGAACTCTTACACATGTGCTTGAACTTGGGGTTGGTTGTTTGTTGTTGCCAAACACCTTTCACTCAGAACATGAGCAAAAGGTCAAAGTTTGACCGACATATGACATAAACCCTTTTTGTAGACAACACTTGGTCTCTGTACTACTATCTGTCGTCAAGTCTGCATTAGGACACAAGACAGCAGACAAGTCAGGATATTTCATGTTTGCACCTGTTAGGATTTGTCAAATCATACGAGTCTGTTACTACAGTGACTTTCTGGAAACTTCTCCACCTTCACAGTGTGAAGTCACCCCTAGTGTGTTATAACAGTGACTTTGTAGGTGGACAAGTTTGTTACTACAGTGACTTTCTGGAAACTTCTCCATAATGACCTTCAAACGTCACTCCCTCGACAGTCTGTGACAACAGCGACTTTCTCGGAAAACTTCTCCATCCTCCCCATCAAACATCGCTCCCTCGGACAGGATCGTAGCGAATGTTCACAGCATTGTATGGGTAACCTGAGGCCTGCCCTCTCTGACTGCTGCTATTATTGTTCACACTATAACCCTCACTATAACCCCTGCTGCTCCCCGCCCACCGACCGTCGGAATAGGCATATGAATTATGTACATTTTGATGATCACTGCTGCTGCTGCTGTTGTTGTTAATGGCTGAGTCGGTGGCCGGAGTTCTGTAGGACACATTGTCCTCCCGCTGAGTGGGTGTGGAGTGATATGCTGAGTTTGCGGGCGGCGGCGCCCTCTGTCTGTTGTAAGTACTTTGTGGGGGCGTGTCCTGAACGCTGCGCTCAAATCTGTCTCGGAGACAAGCGACTGTCTCTGGGTTGTACTGTTCACCGCGCTCGGGCTGCGACTTCTGCGGTGGTTGTCTGTTCTGTGGAGTGCTGGCCCCTGTGTTTGGGTAAGGCGAGTTACTTGACTGGTGCGACATGGGCGAGTGCGACATGGCGCTGGTGTGATGAGGCGTGGCGTTTGTCTGGTGATGGGGTTGGGGGTACGAGTTGCCACCAGCGTAGTTAGGCCCTCCGGCCGGGTAAGCTGAGGACTCGGGGCTCTGTCTGTCGTAAGCTGCTGGGCTGTTGTTGTATCCATGCGTCTGTCGCAGCCGTTGTGCCGCTTCTATCAGCTTCCTCTGGTACCAGCCTTGTACGTGGGCCTGTACCGTCGACTGAGGGACGTTGCTTCTCTCCGCCGGGCCACCGAGACTGTTTGACTTGTGAGAGCTGTGCTCTGATTGGCTGCTTGTGTTGTGGTCAGTTCTATATCTGGGGCTCTCCGACTGAGAATAGCTGTTGTTGTTGTAGGAACTCTTCATCGGAGTGAGACCTGCTGCTGCCGCCCGGCTACCCGCAGAATCTGTCGAGGTGTTTTGTAACGTCGGAGTGCTCCCCCTTCTCCGCACGGACGGGGAACTGTCATAGCCGTTGTGAAGCACAGACTTTGGTGGAAACGCCGTGTACTTCCCCGAGGGCGTGTGTGAGCCGTTCAGCAGAGTGGTTTGATGGGGCTGGGGGGGAAACATGGAGGATGTTCGTGGGGTGCTCCCCCTGTGTTCTGAGAGGGTGGGGTTCGGAGCCTGAGACACCAGAGGTTGTGAACTCTCGTTCTGGAGATTTGCCCCATACCTCACAGACGACCCGCGCTGGGCAGGAGAATTTGACGATGGATATTGCGGTGGATACTGGTATGGATTTCTCCTGGCATTGTACAAAGACTCTGGATTGTTCTGGTACCCCGAGCTTGTTCTCGAGTTGTCCGTCACCTGCCTAGAGTCAGGAATATCCCTGTCTGAACTGGAATTCCTCCGAGAGACATTCTCTCCACTGATATTGTTACTGCTGCCCGCAGTTCTAAACTGGGAGGGGCCACTCTGTGGTTGTTGTTGTTGTGGTTGTTGTGGTTGTTGTTGTGGTGGTTGTTGTTGCTGCAAGGCGTAGCTCGGTGGGGCCTGATACGAATCGTTAATGGAACTTTTCCTGGGCGGGTGCACGAGTTCGGCGTGTGTCGTGTACGGCGAGCCGGCATTACTGGGCGTGTTGCAAGCGCTACTGCGTTCCATGCTGAAGGAAGAGCTCGGTGTTCCCCCACTGGTGTCCCCCCCGCCACCTCCCACCCGCACCCCCCGGCCGTGGTTACGACTGCCGTAGCCTGAATCTTGGTTGCTGCTACACGTGCTGTCCTCCTTGTTGTTCCCCGCGGCGTATGCGGGGGTCGGGGAGCCGCTAGGGGTGACCACTGTGCTGTGCTGAAGACATTCCTTCATGTTGGGGCTGAACGGCACAGGTGAGGGGGAGGACGCCAAGTTGGGGTCTGACTTGTAGGCGAAGCCTGGCCGGGTGAGCTCTCCCTTCCCGAAAGAGTTCATCGACGAGGCAGGCACTACTCCGCTACTTGGGCCACTTCTGGTCTGCCCGCCGTACTTCGAGTCCAAAATTTGATCCGAGCTCTCGCTTCGATTTCTGTTGAAATTACCTGGAGCTTCCCCGGAGCTTGGAGAGAAATTCCGGAGCCCAAACCTGCCCTCGTGAACTGAGCTTCTGTAGGGGGGAGGGGTTCGGGTCTCGTATCCCGAGGGAGAGGCGCCCGTGGAGGTTTCTGGAAGACGGTAGCGGGTGGTGGGTCTGGCGGCCGGGCTGGCAGAGTGGGCTTCTCGCACACCGTAACGACCTTGAGAAAACCGAGAAATTCCCCCACCCCGACTAGAAGCCGATGACGGCTTTAATGCTGAGTCTGTGACGTAGCCAGAGACGTAGGGGCTGGGTGAGCGGCGTTCATCACTGTCTAAAGTGTTCTCCACACTTCTGCTCCTGGCCATGTTGTGCTGGCAGTTGGCGCTGTCCTCGAGGACTGAGTCTGTGGACAGAGTCCGTGGCCGGCTGTACTGAACGCCGTACGCATCTTGGTACCGAGTCAGCTGGGGGGACATTGGGGAGCCGCGACCGCTCCCCGGGCCAGGGGCAGCAACTCCCCCTCTGTGCAACTGTCGACCACGTCCGGAGAACTGCTGGGGTGTGCGGGAGCCCCCCTGATCACCGGACTTTGGATCGACGTTTGGAGGACCCCCTGCGTGTAAATTCTGATTAGAGGAGGAAGAGTGCTGTGTGAGGTGGTGGTGATATGGAGGAGTATTGTGGGGGTCTGGGCTGTTGCTGCTAGTAGCCTGCTGGCGGCCATGTTTGTTGGAGGGGATGCTGGGAGTGCTGGAGCCCCGGAGAACATCTTGAGGTGACGGACTAGATAGACGGTGGAAGGAGGAATGCTGCTGGGGAGAATAATGCTGCTGCTGCTGTTGCTGTTTCGCCTGTTCGGGAGAGAACGTCACTCGGTGGTGCGAGTTGCTTCTCTCCCTTAGAATGCCACGAGGTTCGGCTGAGTCCCTGCGAGGGGTCTCTCTCCCCGTCTGCTGAAGGAGGCCTGCCTCTCTCCTGTACCCCGCGGAGCTGTAGCCCGGTGAGTCAGATCGGTGGAGGAGAACGTTACCTCCATGACTGCCCGGTGAGGTGGTGGAGTTGGTAGATGGGCTCAGCACCGGCTGCGGTTGACTTCTCCCCGTGCGGGGGGTCGCGATGGGGTTACCGTCGTCTCTTAACCTGTCCGGACCGCTGGCGTGGACCAACGCGCGCGTCGTAAATGTGTTACTACTGTTATTATTATTATCATCCGCACCAGCTGCCGTGTTGTTATTGCGTTCGTGCCGACGCGTCTTCGAACCCTCCAACACGTTCCTGGATTTGTGCCGCTCCCCACCAGGCACCTCCCACCCACGGATCTGCTGCATGGCCGCTTGGCGAGAGGCGTAGAAATCCTTCTTCCTGTGTTTCCCGCTGTAATCCGACGCCGAAAGAGTCTCGTCAGATCGGGAACGCACAAGCCGACCCATGGTGGGAAAGTCTAAAAATAGATTTCGAGGAGGCAGCGCCGAGTCGTCGTGGTGGTGATCCAGACAGTGGCCGTAGCTCGCCAGTTTGTCATTCAGCCAGTACTCCAGCTCTTCTTTCATATCGGCGTTGGCTCGCTTAACTAAGGCCTTGGTCTCATTTCTCTCCTCGTAGAGTCGCTCGCGTATCCGGGCGTGGCAGTTGTGGTGCTCCGTGTCAAACCGTTCGTCGATCATCGCGTTTGTGGCAAACGTCTGCTGGGAGGTCCGGATGTCCAGGTTCTCGATGCGATGCGCCAGGGCCTGGTGTGAGGAGTCTAGGTGGCTGTAGATCGAGTCTTTGGTGTCTGTGATTGTGTTCTCTAGTCGTTTCAGCGACGGGCCGCACTGACAAACGGGGGCATATCCGATAGGACCCTGAGGATGAAAAAGAAAAAAAAGTGAGGCATCGTGGTGAAATCAGTCGCTCATCAAAATAATTAAATCAAAGAAAACGGCATTTTCCTTCCCGTTTGGCAATTACTATCAAATATTTATTTGGCTCAGCACCTTTTAGGTTCATTCAAAAACACATTGAAGTGTGGTTTTGACTGAAAAATGTTCATAAAAGCACAAAAAAAGTAAATTTACAGTTTCCAGGGATTCTCATGCTTTAGAAATCACCAAATGTCGGCAGCCATTTTCATTTTCTCTCTAATTTAACCTCTGAAACCATGTGACCCCTAGGCTATCTGCTTCAGTCAGAAATATCTCAGCTTCTATTGAAGAAAGATGAGTAATCTTTTCATAGAAAGCAAGACAAATAAACAAGGTTTTCAGATGATACCAATAACTTCGTACGCCCAAAAATAGATGAGTGCCTGATTCGACTGTGCCTGGACACAAATGTTACACTTCTGAAAGAAGATAAACACCTGAAACATACTTGCAAAAGATTTGGGGGCGAGGGGGGTGGGGGGTGGGTGGGGGGAAGACAGTAGAAAAATGATATACCTCTGAGAGATTCTGTCATTGAATAGAGATATTAGTTCCAAACTAAGATAAACAGATGTGTACATTTTCACTAAAATCTTATTTTTAAAAGTAGATTTTTACCCAGATTCGCTTATGCAGTGGAGTCCACTTAAACTGAAACCTGCGGCACCACTGGATCTCCTTCACTTTAACCATGTTTTCAGTTTAGAAAGAACAAAAAAATCAGGTTTTCCCTTTTATTTAGGTTTACCACCATTTTTGGATAAACCGTGTTCAGTTTAAGCGGACTCTACTGCACTTAGTTTTCCAATTAAAAGGCACTTTTTCTGTTACCTGTTTGACGTTGCCTGCCAGGTCGCGGTAGAGCTGTACTCCGTCGCGGGGCACATACTGGGAGAAGAAGCCATGGACTGGGGTTCGAGTACTGTGGAAGGCCGGCGCTGTCTTAGGGGGGACATTGGGGGTGGTGGGCGTGACTGCTGGGGACTTCTCCTTGTCTTTGTCCTGGGGGAGAGGAAGGAAATGTTGGACATAAGAACAAGAAGGACAGTCGAAGCTGCTGCAACAACCACCTGTCCAAGACAATTAACTGCACAAGACAATCACCTGTCCAAGACAATCAACTGTCCAAGACAATCACCTGTCCAAGACAATCACCTGTCCAAGACAATCAACTGTACAAACGGCTTCTTCACATTTCTGCTGTAAGCTGGCAAAACGCCTTATTTAATTCATAGCAATTTCGAGAAAAAGAGGGGTTTTTTTAGTCAGCATAAATATTGAAAAATAGAGTGTTTCTGAAATTGAATTCTAATTTACACAAAAACTTGTCACTGTTTCACTTTTTTTCCCACAAGTAGGGTAACTAAACTGATCACGCTTTCAATTTAGCAAATAAACATTTTTGGCGCAAAAATGAAAAAAGACGTTTTGTCAGCTGTTTATTGGCAGATTTCCCCCTTGCATCTTTTAAAGATTACAATGACACTGTCCAAGACATCCACCTGTCTAAGACAACCACTTTTTCCCCCAACAATGGGTGGCTGTCTTGGACAATTTCAACTGTATTTCTGGTTAATTTAGATAACAAAAGATTCACATTATTTGTTGATTCTCTGTGTAAGAAATTGGCAGGGTAATTTAAGATCAGACAAGGTTCACTTTATAGATCTTGTTAGAAAAAAAAAATTGACAGGGTACTTTCACCAGCTTCTATGAAACAAAATAATATACACACACAAACATTTAAAAAATATAAAAAATGTAAAATAAATTAAAAACTTACTGATTGGATATTTATACAGTGCATATCCACACTCTACAGCATGCTCCATGCGCTTTACATGATCTATAAAAAAACACATACTATTTTTACCTTTTCCTGCATCCTGAAAAAAAAAATTATATTCCGCTTTATCTCATTTCTAAAACTTGCTACTTATTTGGTTTAATTGGAACTTACTTTTACTCCTAGTGAAGGGGAAAAAAAAACAGGAACCCCTTTTTCTATTACCTTTTTCTTTTTCTTGAAGAAGAAAAACTTTCTCTCCTTCTCCTGTTTCTCTGCCTTGGGCTCTGGCTTGAGGGGCGGCCGGTCCTCGGGGCACACCACGGGGCCATCGTCCATCTCTATGTCCTCTTTGAAGTGGACGCCGAAATTCTCGCCGTGCCGATGGTGGGGGGTGGAGGGCACCCGCGGCTGTGGGAGGGAGGTCGGTGAAGGTCAAACACGTGCATTAACTCTTCCAGCCCCAGCCATTTTCGTGCATTCCCTTACCCCAGTTCCAGCCATTTTCGTGCATTCTCTAACCCCAGTCTCAGCCAATACAGCAGTATTTTATAAAAAAGAGGCATGCATTCTAAAAAGTGATGTAGTATCTTTGTGAATAGGTTTAAATAACAACATATAACAATGCTTAAAGGTAAATGAACAAATATAATGAAAATTAAAGTTTAATTAGGTTAGTTAATTTTGAAAAAATGAGCAAATGCGGTACCCCAAACCTGAGAATACGCTCTTGGGGCAGTGGGAGGCACAAACACTGCTGAAAATGTGCGTGCATGGGGCTGGAAGGATCAAGCACTGCTAGAAGGTGTACTATCATGGAGAACTGTGGCAACAAATACTGCGAACAATTACTTCTGAATATATTTTTCTCCTCTTGACTCAGTTTACATCATTTAAAAGGCTGGCTGCTCGTTTAAGTTTCAGTAAGAGTTTTACAGCACCTACAACACAATAAGGTCATATATAGGCCGAAGAATAGAGGTGTTAATAGACAGTAATATTCCCCAAAACAGAAAGAGGAGAGATAAGGTAAATAGAAGTTTGATAGGAAAGAAGGGAGTATACCACACCAGAGCACCCACTAACAACCCAAAGTCTTTTGAAAATGTGCACCCTAGATAAAAATAATGTGTAAAGACAATGAGAATGAAGCCACGAACTTGTTTGTCAAACAGAAGCATGTCAAAACAGTAACAGCCATTTCAATACAGAAACAATAAGACAGACAAACAGGAACAAAAGAGGGAAATTAAAGAAGTAGAACCTACCTGAGGCACCTTCCAACTACCCAAATGAATGGTCATTTAATTAAGTACAGAACAAAAGTACAGATAGTCAGAAACAAAAATGGGAAAGTAAAGAAGCAGAGCCTCCCATGTAGGACCTCCAACCACCACCCTTGATATGTACCTACCGCCCACCAACCACCCACTCACCTTGGCATAGGTCGTGATGATGAGCCCAATCTCAGGGTGGTCTTTTCGTCTGGCCACATCAAGAGCACTCTCGTTTTGCTGTGGACACAGACACAAACACACACATAAACACAAACACAAACACAAGGTGAGACACAGCTCAAGAAGACTCAGATTACAGAGACAATACAAACTAGGAACTGACATAATTTGCTTCGCTTGAGCTTCACCTTCTCTTCAAAGTAAAATAACTTCTTTTGGAAACAGATCATTTGCAGCAAATACATAATACATACGTGCGTACACACGCCAGCGCGCGTATACGCACACACACAGAGTATACACATAAACACATACACTGTACATACACACATTAAAACATACACACATTATGCATACATTAAAACATATTCATACACACTTTTACATAGATCCAATAAGGGCAGCATAGAGCTAAGAAGGCACAGAAGAAGATGAGTACAACGTCAAACTCTTTCAAGTTCCAGCCGAGCTAACTTTTGATAGATTTAAAAAAAACCCAGTAAATATAAAAGACAAGTTAAGCACTGTCACGATCTTAAAGAAAAATTCCTTCTACTTCAAGTGCGAAATCTGAAACAGACATCACCAATCACCCACTCATTTCTCTGCTCCGACACTCTAAAAAAAACAACACCCTATACTATCCAGCTACTTTCCCATCATTCATCAGATAAATAGAAAAAAAAGACAAAGCCGTAATAAAAATCTGCCCACTTACTTTATTCAGCAGCTCAACATCAATGCCGGACTCCACCAGGATTTTGGCGATCTTTCTCCTCTTCAAAGCAGACGCTATGTGAAGAGAAGTGTCGCCGTTCTGCAAAGATGGAGAGAAGGGGAGAAATAAACAATTGCATTCATTTCACACGTCTTTCAGCACTGTGAATGGGATACAGTCTCCCAGCAGACAGACGAAGACGCTTCACAGTAAACATTCCCACCCAGGAACACATGTCATTGTAACCAACATTTTTCCACAGGGATAAAAATAAGAGTTATTTTTCATTTTATTTTTTTTCAAACTTTTAGTTTTACTAAAAACATTTTTTACCATACTTGCAGCAGGAAAATGTCATACATGTCTTAAACGCTGAAGATAAGAGGTGCTACTGGAGAGCAATACACAACCAAAAAAAAAAAAAAAAGGAGAGATTAGAGCGATAGATGTTTGATAAGAGAGATGGAGCATACCACACCAGAGCATCCATCTATACAAACCACCCTCTTTCAAACTGTGCCAGCAGCAAACAATAATTATCTTACCTTGTTCTGTTCGCTGAGTTTGCAGCGGGCGCTGATGAGTATCCTGGCAACCCCAGCATGGCCGTATCTGGCAGCCGTGTGCAGCGCTGTGTCTCCATACTGGACGAAAAAAGAGGTTTAGATAATCTAGTTTTAGTAAGGTTTTACGGCGCTCTCAACTGCATAAGGTCATATTGGCGCCAAGGGGTGGATGTCAACAGAGAAGTCCAAACAGGGAATCAGGCTTACTCTGCTCATCTCTCTAGTCTCAACAGCACAACGTCTGCTTCAACTATCAAGGCACCCCGGAAATAGCAGTTCACAAGAGAGTGACAAACATTCAAAACAAGTAGAGAAAAAATGACGATAGTAAGGATGAGGAGAGAAAAAGCAGCAGTTCACCCTATGATGTTCCGGCACAGTATGAGCATGACATTGATAAATAAGCCCATTTACAATTCTACTGTGCATAAGAACATGTTAATCTCTCCCCTTTGGGAACAGGTTAAAGACACTTCAGTCAGTAGCCCCGCCCTGGGTGGGAGGGGGGGGGGTACGAAAAAGAGGACAATTTGAGTCTGATTCAGAGTAAAGAGAAGCACATCAACACAATAACGGCCATTATCCTAGAGGGAAAGCTAGACAAATGGAATGAAATCTAATAGGTTTGACGCCCCTTTCAATACCATGAGTAAGAGGTTATTTAGGAGGTGATACCTCTGAATTTAACATCCATCTCCGATACGACTGAACCCAATAGGCATTTTTGTTATAGTCCTAACCACAAGACTACCAAGGATAGATCATGTTGAACTAAGGCTAACTATGTTGAACTAAGGGTAAATCGTGTTGAACCAACGACAACTTCCTTTGAACCAAGGATAACTTCTGTTGAACCAAGAATAACTTCTGTTGAACCAATTGTTCATTGTTTCAGGAGGCAACATCCTTACATTCCGGACACATCCATTGATGCCTTGTTGCTCTCTCCAAAATGCCGCTGGGGCTCTTTTTACTGATTGTGTCAGTGAACGTTCTGGTTGAATGTTCTTCCGTTCTTTCCTGCAAGGATGCCAGATTTCCCGCTTCCTTTTTGTATCACCAAAACCATGGTAGAACCAAGGATAACTCATGTAGAACCAAGGATAAATCATGTAGAACCAATGATAAATCATGTAGAACCAATGATAACTCATGCTGAACCAAGGATAAATCACGTTGAACCCAGGATAAATTATGTAGAACCGTGTCGAACTTACGTTGTTCTTGAGGTCCGGGTCACATCCGGCGTAGAGCAGGACCCGCGAGCTCTCGTTGTGGCCGTTCTGAGCCGCCAGGTGGAGGGCTGTGAAGCCGGCCTGGGGAGAGGGGGGAGGGGAAGAGGAGG